AGCTAGAGAAGATTGCTGAGTAGGAAATGTACGTAAACCGTATGTCATGTGGAGGGGTCATGTACAAAGCAGTATGTAAACTCTTAAAGGAATCTCTTAAAGGCCTTGTCACTAAGTGGCTACTGGTGAAACGTACTAGCATTCGGGCTATTTCCGAATGTTTCGGCTCCCAGAACTACAAAAACAATTGAAAAAATAAAAACAATCGGGGCCTTTTTGTTACTGCGTTTTCTGCTCCACCGTGGATCCTCTGGCCTTTCCCTTCCCTGGGCACCCCCTCCCCCCGCCTGCCCGCCCGTCTTTCGTGTCTCTTCAGCGACTTTCCCCATCTTCACGAAGGAATTAGAGGATTTTTTACTAAAAAAAACTAGTAGGTAAAACTAATCAACAGCCAACAAAAATTCAGCTTAGATTTCGTCACAAAGAATCTCAACAATCTACAGTAAAAACTAGAATTCTCAAATCTCTAGGAAATGATATTTTTTCAAATGCTACAAGTATAAAACTCAAAATTATCGAAATCTATTTTTCTTTACTGTCATAATTACCTTTACCAATAGAGATAAACTTCTGCACAGCACTGCAAGCCACACCGCTCAAATGTCCACGCGAAACATTCGTGCTGGTGAAATAATTGTATATCAGGTACAGCACAGATCGGACGGATGAGAAACCTTGTTCTTCGAATAACCCCACCTAAACAATATAAATTAAATTAGGGGTTTTCGAAACCCTTCCTCCTCCCCCCCCCGCCCTCCTAAAATGAGGCGAAATAAGCCAGTAATTTTTTGAGTCAATTTTAGGCCTATAAATCCAGATATTTTTTAGATTTTCCGGAAGCGTATTAAAAAATCCCTAGTTTCTTGAAATGCTTTACTAAACACACATAATCTCTTTGGGGCGAACGCTTAATGTTAATCTTATCGGGGCATGGAATCTCATTGTGGTCTAAATGTGAGATTTTTTGAGATGAAACAGTGATTTCCGTATTTATCAAGAGAATATTCGGGCAGTTAAAACTTTGAAAATCCCCCACTGAGCTGCTAATCCCTTCAGAAAACGAAACAACCATCAGGACTGCCCGCAGAGTGACCATCAGGCAATGAAGCATTGGTCAAAGCGGCGAAAAAAGTTGCCTGTTAAAAAATC